TCTTCATTTGCACCTGCCCCCCCTCCCCCCAATGTCCCTTGTGAGGCTCCGTAACATTGTAAGTTACGCCATATTTGGAACCCCGTTTTAACCCTACACGGCAATCCATATATGTAACTACACATCAGGTTGCTGCATAACGCAATGACTTGACTGGCATGGAAGGTATATAGAATAGGGATAAAAGGAGTTTCTGGTTACTACGGAAGTTAGGACGTCGATTTCCCGCGGAAGTCTAAATCATGCTTTAGTTGTAGGCTCTGCAGAGATTCAACACAGAAGTATAAATCTATAATGCTAGCAAACACTTTGCGTATTTACACACCAGCAGAAACTAAACAACATGAACATTCATTTTTTAAAATGTAAGTTGGATGTTTACTCACCTTTTTGTTCTATTTTATTCTCTTCTGAGTCCTTCCATTAAATATATATATATATATATATATGAGATGTCAGTTATAGGCAGGAGACTGTTTCACAGAAACACCAACAAGCTAATACCAGAGTATTTATTCACACCTTTATTACTTTACTTTTAGTTTAGTACATCTATTTATAATCAGGGGTAAAATCGGAATAATTTCATGGGTTTATTGCTCTTGTATAATACAAATGCTCATGTAACTCAGTCTTTAAAGTTAGGGAAGTATCTTGGTGGTGGTTAAAATCCTGCAAAAATGTCCTTTGATCTGTGAACAGTAAGAGGATGCTGGACTCCAAGAATGAGAAAAATGTATTGTTAAACCTGTTTTGCTCATGATTACTGTATATTGTGTGAGAAAAGTCATGTTCAGCCCCATATCAGCAGTCATACATGATACTCTAAGGTGTAAGTTTTTCCATGACGTGATATACTTTTTCTTCACATGGGTATTTTAACTTAACTTCTCTTGATTTGTTTGTTGAAACAAACTTTGCATGGAGACAAAATCTATGATTTTTATAATTTATTTTCATTATGTCGTTGGCTATAATTCATATTTCTCCAACATCCTGACAGAGTCTTAAACATTCCAGATAAAGGGATTGTTCACCAGGTGGATGCTTGATTGAGTGCACTTTTTAATAAAACACATTATTTCAGTTCTTTATATCTGGTTTTTGTCCTGACTTTGGAGACAAGAACATAAATGAAGAGAATGAACTGCGTAGCTGCTTATTTTTCTTTTTAACTGTAAAGAGCTTAGTGAAGAAAGACACTGAAGATGGCTACTTTTGTTAGTCCTTTAAGTTCCAACCTTTAAGTCTACTGATGTACAAATGTTCAATTTATTTTTGTGTTGTTATATAAGTTCTGGGTACTTTTAATCACTGTGTTGGTGAGTTTTAAACTTGCTATTTAAAGAGCTAAAATTAACAGTTGATTGTAAAACGCCTTCACAAGTTTCGAACCACCATATATAGTTAATTCCTGAGCCTGCACAGTCATGTTAAAGTTTTCACAGGACTCTTCAGTTCTGCAAAAAGCTAAGTATACTGCTTCCATAGGATTTAAGATGATAAGTAGCAGCCAGGTGCTGGTAATTGAATGCACAATGAACAATCTTCTTTGGAAAAACCAAAGTGGAGATGCTTGGCTGTAATGCACAGCACCACAATTAGCAAAAATGTTGATGTATATTAAGTTGACTATGAGGCCATCTGTCTCACAGCAGAGGCTTTGCCCAAATAAGGTCATACAACATGCAAATGATCCCAAGCAACATCGATCTGAGTGAAACCCAGTGGTGGGACCTTTAGAGAAACTCAATAAACTAAAGCAACATTGAGAAAAAGAATGGGCCAAAATTCTGCATAGAAAACGCTGCTTTTTAAAGACTATTTTTACATTGTGGCCATTAAAGTTGTGATCTTTCGGGATCAGTAATGATGTTCATCCGGTCTTTAAGTGATGACGTAAGAGCCCTGCTTCCGGGTCCAAACTACTCTGCGTTTAATATGGCTGTTGTGTTTTTAACATGTTTTAATGCTTTGTATCTTGTTCTATTTGATCTCGACAAGCCCTTAAAAACAGTCAGTGATCACTGTCGGCCTCTCTCGGTTTTTATTACCACTGTTCATTTTAAAGCTCAGTTTTTAAAACCTTACAATGTAACTACAGCCCAGCCCATGCAGCAGTATATTAATGACTAACCTCGTATTGTGGATGGATTATCTCAGTTGTTCTCCTGACTGAAGTTTGGTCCGTTTACAGCATGGTTGTCCCTAACCACTGGAAACCCTTAAGTTAGTGTTCATTCTCCAGCTTCACTGTGTTTATATTATGCTAACCATAGCTGTATAGCTAGCCACAACGTAGCGCATCATTATATACCAGCTAGCCCAACTAAAGTAAAACTTCAAACGTGACTACTGTTTAGTTTTCTGTCTTCATTTATGTCTGAAGTGATAGCAGAGCTGTACATTTTAATTTTTTCAGAAATCTCTCAGTCAGAACATGCTATATTATGTTTAGTTGGAAACTAGCGAGCTAACTTCCTGCTAACTTCTAACTCTGTTAAATTTAATAAATTCTGTTTTTATGGATGCCTGGATTTTAAACTTAATTGTTATGCCTGGCAGAGCAGCCACACTGATCATTTTATTAAAGATGAAAGAATTTAGACAGTTTGTAACAGTGGGTTGCGCCAGTGTTCGTTTGACTTTGGGACCTGAAGCAGAGTTTGGACCCAGAAACAGCTAATGACGTCAGACTTAAAGACTGGATTGGGAGATGAGGGTGGAGTTATTAGCTAACATTAACTGGCTTGGTTAGCATGGTGCATCCAAAGAATGTATGGGTGGATCACACAGACACAAAAACCTGCTATTGGTGGTATATCACTCAAAAAAACACAATCCACTAGAATTTCCCTCATCAAAACTGGAAGACAGACCTCTTGATATTCTATTAGTACAATGAGCCGTACAACAATCAAACAAATTATGTCAGATAATTGCATTAAAGTGCTCTAAATGGCAGACACCACAAATATGGTTCAAAGATCCAGTTCACCGAATCAGTTCAGAGTGAATTTGCTGAGGTTACACCTAAGAGACAGCTGCCTGTAACCCACCTGGCAGCCAGAGCATTCCTGCGCATTATAATCCACTTCAATGCTTAATATAATTTAAACAAGTGAAGGGAAGCAGGAAATTAAATTATAGACCAGAGACTAAAACTCACCAGGTTTTCTGTAGCAGGTTATAAACATGTTTATTTCTGCTGTTACACTAGGGCTTCTTAACATCTAGTCTAATGGGACTGACTCAGCCTCAGGTTCTCATTCAAAGAACTAGTTTTCTTGCCACATTGGCTCCATCTCCGAGGTCACCGTTTTTCATGCTTTCATAGGGAAACAATGTATTTTACAAAGTGTTTATTTCATATTTCAGACCTAGTAGAAAGTCGGATTCTGTCTTTCTATATCTTTTCAGTGAAGCTAGTTAACATGTCAGCATTGGGAACTGCTATATAAACAAATAACAGGGGTTGTTAGATATCATTTAGGTGTATCCTTTAAAGCACAGATTCTTGAATCCATTCAAGTTCGATGGTATTTGAAATAAATCTGAAATGTGTTATATTAGTATTTTGAGAACAGCTTTCAACTGTAGCTCAGCTCACAACAGCTCTGTAGGCTCCTGGGACCACAAGTGATGCAACTCGGCCCTTCCTCAGTAGAAGAGGATTTGTTGTCAACCAGTGCTCCTCGGCTGACAAGAACTATCATTATGAGCGTGTTGGTAAAACCCACAAAAAGCCCTGTGGCGCTGAGCTGTTAATGCAAAGCTCGCTGAAGTTTCATTTTTCCATCCACACTGTGGGTGAGCCGTGGTCTGACAGAAATCAGTGCTGACGGACGTTTTATTTCACGACATCCATTTTACACAAAAAAAACTAAAAATGGTGTAACGAGGCTGAAAGATTCATATGAGTGGAAAGTAATCAGTGCATATGAAGGTCCTCCTTTTTGTCTTCTTGGAATACAGGAAGCTCACTGGGATTTTTCTGGTGGAAAAATCCAGCCAGATAACATAACGGTTCAATTAAGTTCAGTTTTGTTTATAAAATTAGGCTCCTAAATCCTTGTCTCCTGAATCCTAACGGTTCAGTACCCAGAGAGGTTTTCTACTTTTTCAAATGTAACCTGAAGAACACACGAAAACCATTATTACAGGTCATAAACATGTCAAGTTTCTTTTTAATCTCTTAGCGTGTTCCAATTCTGTTGTTTAACTGAGCAAACATAGTAGCTGCAGTTGTATTTCTGCAGTTAAGCACTGCTCATGTAGACAAATGCTTCTGCAAAAAAAGTTCTAATAGTGGGAAAAAAATAGGTTATTTGATGCAACAAGTGCATAATAGCCATTAACATTGTTTGTGTTGGGTGACCAGAGGAGTGGTGCCTTTGACCCCCATGTCCCCCCCCCCATGACTGCACCCCTGGTTTTACACTAGTTTTATACTATACTTGTTATGTCATATTAAAGTTTTAACACTGCAAAGAATTACACGATGTCTTGCATACCAACAGACAGTCCTGTTTCTGAGAGATTTATGACCGGCATCATTTTTTATTATGCGGGAGAAACGAGGCAGAAGCGCCTTTGATGAATGAGGCGCTGTCTTTGAAACGGATGAATGCAACACGTTACATTTAAAAGCCTGCCATTTATTATCGAAAGCAAAACAGCTTTCAATCAAACGCGTCGCCCAGTTTAAAAGTCTCCCGTTTTGAAAAGGGGAAAGATGATTGCATGACAGGCAGAAGCGGGGACTAGCAGAGGCTTATTATCTGTGCTGGCACAAAGAGGAGGCATAATCTATTCTTGTGCGAGAGGCAGTTTCGTTGTCATAGCAACTGATATCCATTTTTATCCTTCATCTGACAGCCTGAGTGGGCGGGACTTCCACCTGTCAGTTATTTCCAAAGGTATTTTTATGCCGTGATAGTTGACCCCTGGACGCTTTCGAAGGTTAACGTCAGACGTCAAACGTGATTGTAAAAATATTATTGCGGCATAAATCACTATGGACACTGCTGTATAATATTTAGAAAAGCATTAGCCTGACCTGGGGTCGTATTAGCCTTTTTTTTTTAAACATCCTTTCACATGAACAGCAGCAGTCGAGCTAGCTTTATCGACATTAGTGTCATCTCGGCAGATTAGAAGGGAAGTGCGCTAACCTTTGCTGAGTGTACATTTGAATTAAAGAGATGTTTTTGCTTTCTGTGCTGGACTAAACGAAAACGGAAGTTATTGTAAGGCTTCCTCTTGTTGTGTTGCGCCTCTCTTGATAAACGAACAACATTTCCCAGAAGTCCTTGCCGCTGACCTGTCACCCAAAATGTCAGCCCTCTGAAAGCAAATGCGCCGGGGTTGTTATGATTACAGTGCTCTTTCTTTTAAAGTTTCGTTTATATATATAATTCGTATATTTAATTGTATCGTGTGAACATTACATCATCATTATTTCTCCTCCCTGTCTTCTTCATGGCGTGAGGCTACAAGCGGAACCGAAACATGTCGTTTTCTATGGTGAAACGGTGCTGTGGGACGCCCCTGTTTAGACGTGTGCTGCAGTTTAAAATGTGCAGAAGGAAGAGTCAAGACTCTAATGTGACCTACACAGTGTTTAGACACCGCTGGATGAAAGCACTGCCTGTGCTATGCAGCAGCTCCAGGAGGCTAAGCACCCAGGCCGACAAGGTAATAAACTGCTGGGACCTGGTACTGTCAGCGTGAACTAGATACAATAAACATTGATAATGATAATATTAATAATAATAATAAGCAGGTACACTGTTGTTACAGTTTGGAAAAGACTCTGAGAGTACAGCCAAGAAGCTGCACAGTCATAAAGTTCTTGCCTCCATTAGCCAGTAGCTCTCTGTTTGTCGCCCCCAGAGAACCATAAGCTGCAGTTACTGAACCAAGTGTGCAGCATGGCTTTAGGTGGAGTACTATAATACAGCTGTTCAGTGCATGGTTCTGCTGTTTTGCTTTTAAGGATGCTGTGGACCTGTCCAAATTCCCTGTGGACAGAATCAGGAACTTCTGCATCATCGCCCATATTGATCACGGGAAAAGCACCTTGGCTGACAGACTGCTGGAAATGACTGGTATGTTTGCTCTCCACACTCTACACTGTCAGCTTTTCACCTTTTCATTTTTTAGCAAATCCAAATTAATCATAATTTATTTTTATTTTTTTAAACGTCCAAGAGGTAGAAGTTAATGACACAAACTTGTAATATTGCTCCTGTCGAGAGTGCTCCACGTGTAAAACTCCACAGTGTCCTCTAGTTAAGAGTAAAAGTAACAAAGAAACAAATGTGAGGCAAAGAGCAGGGTTGTGTGATGCAGTGTGACACATGTTTCTGATGCTAAGAGGTGGTCGGAAATTTGAGAAATAAACGCATCCAAAAACAGGAGAAACTTGGAATTTAATGTGTGAGGACAAATCAGTTGTATTTTACTTTGGTTTCATTTCAGCATAACTAGATTAAGGATTGAGGAGAGCGTGACTTGATGGCTTTCTATAACTGTCAACATGTTGTAGCTGTTTTCAGCTGCTGCCTAGTCTGGAGTTCACTGGGGATGAGCCCATACATCACTGCTACCCTTTTTCAGCCACACACTTCATTTGAGACTCACGTGTACTCTGTGACTTAAGTTCATATTCTTCCCTGGGACATTATGTCAGTATATAAGCGATGTGGTATGAGCAATCTAAAGTACGACCCCTGGTCACCCTACTCCTGCTGCTGGAGGCCCGATAGCACCTCTCACACACGTCAGGGAGCACCCGTCAGCAGTTCACATTTTTTGGTGTCGCATATGTTGAAACTAATTCATATCATTTTCACTGATGGTGTGACTGACAAACAGGTGCTATAGCAAAGACGGAGAAGAACAAACAGGTGCTGGACAAGCTGCAGGTGGAGCGAGAGAGGGGGATAACCGTAAAGGCCCAGACAGCGTCTTTGTTTTACAACTACGAGGGGCAGCGGTACCTCCTGAACCTCATTGACACCCCGGTAAGGAGAGGTGTACGTTGGTATACTAAGTAGCAAATTCAATAGAACCGGGCTTTGTTGCGTTAACTGGCCCGACGAACCTAAAACCCCCGTCACAGCTGACAGGTGTCACAGTGGCAGTTATCAGCGGTTGCAGGCATCGTTTCACTCTCTTTTTCCACAAAATCAAAAGAGTTACACCCTTCTCCACTCAGAGACATTATCAGAGGAACAGGTGCAGCAGATCTATAATGAGCATTCAAATAAAACACTGTTGATGCAAGTATGATGAGAGTAAAGCTGAGAAAAGTCATTAACCAATCACCACTTCACTTAGTGGAGAAAAAAAAAAGAATATTTAGTATAATATATTTACTTTAGCGCTTCCTGACAGTCGATGTAACATTTGCCATCGGGTCAAAGTGAAATTTATCTTATTGATTGAAAAGGTATTCTTGGTGATAAATAGCTTACAGACTGATCAATGTTCAAGTCTGAGCTCATTTGTTGTAAATGTATCTGTGTAAAAGAGCCTCTGCAGCATTGGGACCAAGAATAAAAACATTTATAGATTTTCTGCATCACCAACTGAATACATGCAAATTCGCATAACAATGTGAACACACAGTTTGCACTGCTGTAATTTTAGAGCATGGCTTCCTCCATCTGTGTTAGCTCAAAAGTTTGCATGTATGAAATATATTCTTTCTGCAGAGGATATGTTGAACTCTTTAAGAGCACTTCCACATAGTTACAGACATACTGTTGAAACTGCACTTATTAAAATCAAAATGAGCTGTATGTGGCCCAAAGATGAGTTTGCGATCCCCGGGCTAACATGCCATTTTTCCCTAAAGTTGTTTTTGCTCAAGCTGTGCATGTGAATCTTCTCCTCAGGGTCATGTCGACTTCAGCTACGAAGTGTCTCGCTCGATTTCTGCTTGCCAGGGTGTCCTGTTGATCGTTGATGCCAATCAGGTACTAAAATATGCTTTCTTTGTCATGTGCTTGCTGCATAAGTGTGAAGATTTTAATTTTTTGCTGTCGTGTGAAGGGCATTCAGGCACAAACTGTTGCTAACTTCTACCTGGCATTTGAAGCTCAGCTGACAATCATTCCCGTCATCAATAAGGTACGATCTGACCTTCCACTGTTTGGGTTTGTTACACGCTATCGTTATAGTCGAACACATGTTTGATTCTGGTGCGTCTCCTTCAGATTGATTTGAAAAATGCTGATCCAGAGCGGGTGGAGTCACAGATTGAAAAGGTGTTTGATATTCCACGCGAAGAATGCATCAGGGTGAGCACTTGCTGCAAAAGCTGCTTTTCACTTTGCTTTGAGTCACTTTTCTGAGAAATGTCTCTGTGTGTTCTTCAGATTTCAGCTAAACTTGGAACAAATGTTGACAAGGTGCTCCAAGCTGTTGTAAACAGGATTCCACCGTAAGAAGGCTCTTCTGGTTTTATTCATTATCTGAAAAATATTTGATATAAAACAAAAACCCAAATGTAAAATGTTGCTACTTTTTCACAGGCCCATAGCGAGCACCGAAGACCCATTTAAAGCCTTAGTGTTTGACTCCAATTTTGACCACTACAGAGGAGTCGTGGCCAACATTGCCGTGTTTGGAGGTCGGGTCAAAAAAGGGGACAAGATTGTGTCGGCACATCTCGGAAAAGCCTACGAGGTCAACGAGCTAGGCCTTCTCCGACCAGATGAGCACCCAACGCAGAAGCTGTACGCTCTGTTAATCCTCCACTCATTTTTCCCCATTTCTTTTCATTTCCACTAAAACTGACTTTAGGATTCATCTCATGATCTCTGCTACAGTCAGTGATCGTAACGTTTTACATAAATAAAAACTAAACTACTTTCAGCAAATTTATATGAAAAAGAGTTTCCAATGCAAGGGATGAAAACTTACCAGATTACCTGATTTAAGTTTGGCTGCTGTCCCCTTAAAGGTGGTCTTTTATCACGTAGCTCACGATTGTCTTAAGAGTTCCTGATTGATCCTGTTCTGACCGCTTTCACTTGATCAGCTGACGTGTGCTGAATCAACTCCTACACTGTGAGAAAACAGTGACCCGTCATCCTCAGTTTCAGAACGACAAAGCTCTAAGGAGCCCAATCTAGTGAGTAGTGCTGGAGGTGAGGAAAGATGGTGAGGACGGAGGTGAAGATGTTATACTTGAGAGTGTGAACTTTAAAGAACATTTTAGGTTGATTCCTGACTCGATGTGCCGCCTTCAGTATTTTTCACGTGCACACTTTTGAAAATGATAATTGTCAGCAGGAAGATGGAGTCAGTTTGACACTGACGTTGATGTTTACCCTCTCTGTGAGTTTGCAGCCCATGGGGAAAAAGCAGATGTGCATATGGACATGGTCAGAACAGAACTTCCAAAGAACAATCAAAATACAGCAGGAGCCCTGGAATGTTTATGCCATAGACTGTATATAAAAGACGGACCTACTCATTAATTGGTTAGTAAAACCTACAGCTGAGCATTTCCACTGTTGCCATCTTGATGTTTTGAGCGATGGGCAGGTCTGACAGAAACTGAGGGACACTGCACAGCAGTATGGCAACAACATGTCAACAGCATGGTAAAGCACACTCTGCTTTATGCTCCTACTGGACATTAATGACAATTCTGTTGTATTCAGTATGACTTGGCAGTAACATTTGATACTTTAAACCAGCGGTCCCCAACCTTTTTTGCGCCACACACCGGTTTAATGTCAGAGAATATTTTCATGGACCGGCCTTTAAGGTGTCGCGGATAAATACAATAAAATAAAATGATCCGACTAAGACAAAAACTGTGGTATTTTGTAAACATAATAATAAATGTGAATCCACTGTGTAATTGTGTAACTTTATTAGCAGCGTCCTCCTGAAATGCGCCAACAACACTGAAAGTTATGGTAATGCGTAAATATTTCTTTCAAAATAAGACACACAACTACAACAGGGGAAGAGACCCAGGGAAACCGAGTTAACGATAAAAATCCCGAAAACCATAAATTTCACACGTGAGCCTCAACTCTCGTGGCCCGGTACCAAATGACTCACGGACCAGTACCGGTCCATGGCCCGGGGGTTGGGGACCGCTGCTCTAAACCCATCATGAATGTGTTTACTGGAAGTCTTGGAGCTTGGAAGTAGACTTCTTTTTAAAACCACAAAATTCACCGCACTACACAAAATGCACTTCTTGGCTTTACTGTTAAGACATAAAGGCTGTGTCCATCTTTTATCTACAGGTTATGCTCACAGCACTTTACAATGAGATGACCTTATGTGGGATATCAACCAAATTTAAAAGGTTAAACTGGGTAAATGGTTCTTTTTTATTTTATGGTGGGAGTCTGCAAACATTTTAATTTTTATTTGATTTTATTTTATCAGTTACTTGAACAATTGAATATACAGACCAACATTTCCAAAATAACCACAAGTTAAAAAAAATCTGTGTCATTTACATGTGTGCAGAGGTTTTTGCAAAATAAAGACTGAAGGTTGTAAATTAGTGTTGCTTTCTGAGGTTGGCTTTTTTTGTAGATTTGCAGGTCAGGTGGGTTACATCATAGCAGGGATGAAGGATGTGAAAGAGGCCCAGATCGGTGACACACTCTACCTGCAGGAGCAGCCAGTCGAAGCTCTCCCAGGATTCAAACCTGCCAAAGCCATGGTCTTTGCTGGTGAGAAGTGTTCTTTCTGTTTCAATGAAAAAATAAAAAAGATTAAGAACTTGAGCTAATGTAACCATTTCTACATAAACACTGTGAGATGGTAATAATGTGAAGCTTAGTCCTGAGTACTTCGAAAGAACTGGATAAAGATGAAACTCCTTTGTGTTTTCACTGTGATGCAGGAGTCTTGTTTCCTGCTGATGTACACTCTCTATTTTTCCCGTCCCTCAGGCATGTATCCAATGGACCAGTCAGAATACACTGGCCTCCGCAGCGCCATTGAAAGACTGACCCTGAATGACTCGAGTGTCGCAGTGCAAAGAGACAGCAGTCTGGCCCTGGGGGCAGGATGGAGGTTGGCATGAATGTTTTTTGAATTAGAATAAAAATGATACCCAGCCAAGGATTGGGCTGTTGGGTGTCATGTAGGGGTGAATGGAAACAAAGTGTTTGGGTAATTAAGACACTGAGGTGTGGACACACAAATGTTTAGTTCCCACTTACGGGATTTTATGGAGGTTACTGTAAAAGTATTGAAAACATTCAAATTTCCCATTTATGTTAATGTTCAGGCACTTGGTACAGGGTGAAAGCACCTTTGGCAGCACGCACCACTGACAGCGTCACGGCTTTTTTGGAATGACCCCTACAAGCTTGGCACACTACAGTTTTGGAAATATCCTCTATTTTTCTTGGCATTGGAGTCATTTAAGCTTAACAAGATTGGTTAGTTAGGTCAGTGCACAGCCTTTGGTCTCTCTAGAGGTTCACTATCAACTTTAAGTCCAGACTCTGGACTCTAGCTGGGCCACACCAGGACTGTTTTTCATGTTTTCTTGGCAGTCTATGTGGGGTCATCATCTTCATGAAATGTAAACCTTTGCCCCAGCCTGAGATCCTCCTGAGCACACGAGGTGACAATCAGAGGCTGGTCTCCTCAACACATGCCACCGAGATGTGTGAGAGTGTAGCAGAGTAATCAATTTTAAACCAGAGGACTTTGATAGAGTTAAACTTTTCTCAGGGCGAACAACTGAAGTGTCTGCCAGTTACAGTGAAAGATACTGTTACTGATTCACTTACGATATGGTGTTAAATGCATTATAGGGTTACCTTGGTAACCAGAGACTGGAATGTCAGCTAGCAACTGACCATCAGCAACAACCAAGATTTGTCTCAGATTACTTAGACTAGCCGGGCAGCCAGATATTCGAGGACTGTTGGTGTGTCAAGATTTTTTTTGAGAAGGTCAGAGGCCTCTACACTCTTTGGGCAGCTTCATCTCATTTTTGTTTATCTTCCTCTGATCTGAGTCTTGACAGAGTTCTGTCTGTCAGTCTGCCACGCACTATCAACTCAAAGATACCACACTCCTCCATACTTAGATATGGAGGACAAACACAGACTATGTTTGTGTACTTAGTCAAAAAGTTGTCTCTAGAATGCTGTGCACTGTTTGCCCTCAGTGGTCTCCATCTTGCCTACATGAGGAGAAAAAGAAGGACACAGGATACATCAATGAAACAGACTGTGATGCTAATAGCTTGACAGCTTACTTTTTTTTTTCTGGATTGGCGTTATTTAGTTGTGTTTTTTGGTGTTTATGTGTATTAAATGATCATCTGTAATGCACAAGAATCTGGAATTACGTGTGCTCAGCAACACAACATGTTCAGTTCAATTTAATTCAATCTTATTTATAAAACATCAAATCACAGTCAAAGTCAAAAGTAAGGTAAAGACCCTAAAATAATGCAGAGAACTCCCAACACGAGAAGACCCCCTATGAGCAAGCACTTGGCGACAGTGGGAAGGAAAAACTCCCTTTTAACAGGAAGAAACCTCCAGCAGAACCAGGCTTAGGGAGGGGCGGGGCCATCTGCCGTGGCAGAATGTGGCAGTTAGCATGACCGTCCCAAACAGTAAAATCCTCATTTCCCATTAATGCCCAGCTTTCTGGTTGACAAAGTTTTTAAATGAAGTCTGGAAAAAAAAATCGCAAAAGTTTACAAAAGTTGTTTTCTGCTTTGTCACTTTGGACTTTTGTGTGTTTATTGATGAGAAAATTAATGAGCTGAATCCAGTTTAATATTCTGTCATGATTTTGTTCACAAACTTTAACAACAAATGATTAACCGGGAAACATAACTTTCCTTAGGACACACTGGGTGTTGCCAGATTACTCAGCCAAGTACGAGTCTGTTTATTATCTCAGGTCACATTATCAGTCCAGATGATGTACATTCGATTCTGTTCGTGGGTGTGATTTAGACAATCTAAATGTACAACACTGTGCTGGGATAGCAATGAGTCTTACTTACTGTTGAACTGTTTCCAAACGGCCTCTTTCTAATTAAAAGCCTGAATATCAATTATGAAGCTCGAGTGCACCTGTGGACCTTCCTGTCCCCCTGCAGACTTGGCTTCCTGGGTCTCCTCCATATGGAGGTGTTCAATCAGAGGCTGGAGCAGGAATACAATGCTTCTGTTATCGTGACTGCGCCCACCGTGCCCTACAAGGCTGTGCTCTCCTCAGCCAAACTCATCAAGGTAAGAGCCATTCCTCGCTCGTATATCTTCTAGCCTTGCTGCAGAGCTTGGCTCACGCTGATTTCATCAAAAAGCAAGTTTCAGCTGACTTGGAAATTGATTATGGATGAAGGCTGTCTGGTGTCACTGGCTTGCTTCCTGTAAAATGATATAGTGTATGAGCTACCTGATGGGAAATGGTGCAGAATGTTCTAACACTAATGGGAAAACACAAAGCATGCTGAAGTCCCTCTGTTACTTATCGTACACTCAGCTCTATAAATAGTTGGACCATTAAATGTTTTATTATTATTTTTTGTAATATCGCCTCTCTGCATCATTTTAAATGAAACATTCACAGTGTGATTAAAGTTTAGACTTCCAGCTTTCATTTAAGGGGTTTAACAAAGATATTTTATTAACATTTTAGGATTCACAGCCATATTCATGCATAGTCTCTGATTTCCAGAGCCCCAAAAGTAACTGGACAAACTAACATAATTTTAAATATAATGATTTTTTTTCTCAGATGAAAATCCTTTCCTCCCTTGAGATCCTGTGTTAGACCTTTAATGCAGCAACCTTCAGTTGCTGCTCGCTTGTCTCTTTGCATTTATTTTAGTCTTCACTAACTAAAGAGCAGCTCTACTGGGTTAAAATCAGGTGACTGACTTGGCCATTGAAGAATATCCCATTTCTTTGCTATATGTTGTTATTCATTTGCTCTGTGAAGGGCTGGACAATTGATTTTTGTAGCATTTAGCTGAACCTGAGCAGAGAGTACAGCCATGTACACTTCACAATTCATCCTGATACTTCATATCAGATCACATCATCAGTAAACACTAGTGACATGGATCCACTGGCAGTCATGTATGCCTCTGCTGATTGTTTCCGATCATGAGATATTCTTTCCTTTTCTATACAAAGTGCTACAATTTAGTCTTGGTTTTATATCTCCACACTTTTTGTTTGTTTTGTTTGTTTTGCTCTTGTAGATGTTTTCTGCCAAAGTCTAATCTGGCCTTCTTGTTTTTGAATGAAACCAGAGGTTTAAACCTTGTTGTAAATCCTCTGTATATCCATTCATGAAGGCGTCACCTGATAATGTTATGTCTATCTGTTTCAGTGTTCTTGAATTTGTTAGATGCTGTTAAGTTGTTTCTTACTAAGAAAATAATTCTGTGATCATTCACTTGAGTTGTCTTCTGTGGTCTTTGAGGGCGTTTGATGTTGTTTAGCTGCCCAGTGCACTCATTCACTTTAAGAATGTGTCAGATCGTTGGTTCAAAGACTAAACAAAGTGTAATGCTGGGAAACTTTCTTATCCCACTGTCAGTAAATATTGTAATGATTTTCTGAGAGTTGAATGATTTTACAAATTATTAAAACTGTCAGAAAATAGAAATAAATATGGTTTACAATGTTCAAACCTTCTTCTGCTTACAGGAACATGGCAGTGAGGAGATAACCATTGTGAATCCCGCTCAGTTCCCCGACAGGTCGGTCGTGTCAGAGTATTTGGAGCCCATGGTCCTGGGGACCATTCTCACTCCAGACGTTTACATTGGAAAGATTATGACTCTGTGTTTGGTAAGAAGGAAATGCGAAAAATGCAGATGGAATATAGAAGAAAACCTCCGTCTGCAGTTTAACCTGTACAAGTTATTTTACTTTTCTATTTTAACATTATCGCTCTACTTTGTAAACATCTTATCTAAATTGTGGGAGAACAAATTTTTTTAACTCTTTAAAAACTGGTCTGATGACAAAGAGGACCAATAATACTGTAACCTGGAGAACGAATTTCCATCTGTGTTTATGAAAAACTTATTTTCCGATGAAACTTGACATTTTCAGGTGTTTTTGTCACCATGCGGCCTTCCTCTGTTTCAGAAATAACCAATAAAGTTATAGCTGGTGTATCAATAACATGTCAGACTAACGGTTTGTGTTCTTATAGAATCGCAGGGCGGTCCAGAAGAACATGGTGTACATAGATGACCAGCGTGTCATGATGAAATATCTCTTCCCTTTAAATGAAATCGTGGTGGATTTCTATGACCTCCTCAAATCACACTCATCTGGATACGCCAGGTAAAGTGTTATGTAAATACACTGTGTAATGGATTTTTATAGATTTTGTAGGTTTTATCTGCAGTATTTAGGTATTAAGAGTTATAGAAGGTATCATTTTCAGGAAAGTGTAGATTATGGAAAGTATCCAATGTTACAAGTTTAAAAAAAGGTTTCACACATTAAGTTATTAATTCATTTTAATTTTGGTGTAAAATCTTTTTCCATGCACTCTAATGGTGTAGCCTCTCCTGTGCACCTTATGTGTTTTTATGTTGCGCAGCTTTGATTATGAGAATGCAGGTTACCAGGCTGCTGATTTGATAAAGATGGATATTCTGCTGAATGGACGCCCAGTAGAAGAGCTGACCACAGTTGTACACAGGTACATTTCAGATAATGCTCTGAGGTAAAAAATTGAGACTTTTGTGTTAATTTTCACTGAGTAATTTACTTTTTTTGGCCAGGACATGTGACTCTGATGTTACTTAAGAGCACCTTGTTATGAATTTTTTTGGTCATATTCTTACCTTCATTGTTATTGTTACTGGCAAGGTTACAGTATATAGTCCTTCATTACTATAGTAATTACTCTTTGCCTGTGAAGCATGAAATGTATTCAGCACTATGGTTAACATTTAAGAAAAAAAGGCCTTTTGGCAGCTGCTGTTAACATGACTTTACACACTGGACAAGGACAAAGGAGTAACTTTACAGAAGAAATGTGATGACGTTCAGCAAGATCTGTGTGTAATGTACTCACTAGCAAAGCCGGTACAGGAGCCAGAACAGACGTAGGTAATTGAAGGGCGCTACGCTTCGCCAATGATGGCTACTCTCAGACGATTTATACAGTAAGCCTTGGAGCTGAGCCGACTCGAGCGAAGCTTCGGTCTGTTCCTTAAGGCCAACGCACCAATCACAGAGCAGAATGTCTTTTATTGGAGGCGTGTTCTCTACGCCTTTTCAAGTAGAGAAGTCATTAACATACCTTACAGTTTGAAAACAGATGTACAGAAAATGTACGATCCAGTTTCTCCCAAAGAGATGGGTGATAAAGTTCATGCTTCATTTGAGAGGATGGAGCTAGCTGACCCATTACAGCTAGTTCATTTTATCCAATTACGAGAAAACTGAAAGCTTTTTCATTTTTACACAGGCTTAACATATGTTACAAATAAACAAGTAAATATATATTATCAATAACTATTACTATCTAAGGAGTTTCTGAACTTCCTGAAGTTTCTTGAAGACGTTTCACCTCTCATCCGAGAACCTTCTTCAGTTCTAAGGGTAATTGGTTTTTAAACCCTACTGGGAGTGTCCTTAAGAGGGTCGTTGACCCATTGATCATCTGCCTAATCACATGAGCCAGGGTGTGAAAACTGATGTGGATCACTATACGGGTGAACCCATTGTGAGACCTTGCCCCACCCTATCATGTGATTTATGCGAGTGGGCGTTAAGGCGTGTAGGAAGGAAAAGGGTTTGGGTGGGAAGGTGTCACAGTGAGTTCACCTGAAACTTTGGCTGATAGATGAAATGTCTTCAAGAAACTCCAGTCGCCTTTCTTTTAAAGCTGCTTAGATTACCATGACTTGGATGACTGAGAACCTTCAAAGACATTATATTTTTATATAATACTAATATAAAGCATAATTTTAAAACTTTGGACAGAGCTACGCAAGCTATTTGGAGTATGTTGTGCACAAGTTTGCACAACATACTTATTCTAAATAAGATAATTGCGTGAGAAAATAAATCAGACAAATGTTATGACTTTTAACTGTTTCCTTTCAATTGCTCAGCTGATGTCTGTCTCTGTAATGTGAGCTAAAGCATTCAGAAGTCTCTCCTTGCACCAGCACTGGTGTGTCTGAAACAGAAAACTTCACCTAGACCTACTTCAAACAGCTTAGAGCCCAGACGATATCAGCTGTTTGCTGATAAATTGGTATCTGCATTTATAACAACCAATAAAAGCAAAGTTAAAAAGTGCAGGGGGGATGGGAGAAACACCCTTCATTCATGTTAGGACTGTTGGTGTTGCATAGTTTGTACACCAGAGGGCACTCTGCAACTTCCCTGTGGGCACATGTTTCTAAAGCCATAAAAACAACCTAACTTGCATTGTCATATTATCTTATTAGGGACTGGTAAATACCTAGACATATCAAATGTTCAGGAAATCAGTTTGTTTTGTGAAAGAAAAAAAATATCAGCTTCATATACTGGTTTTTTAAATCACCAAATATTATATTGGTCTGGATAGTGTTTGGTGAAACACCAAAGTCAAACTGACTTTGGTGAAAATCCAGCTTAGCTTTCTGCAGTGTTTAGGAGACAGTACCACCAATAATGCTGCTTTTTTTCACAGTCTGTTGTTAAGCTAGTACTCTAGATTAAGGACAAATGTTTAAATTTCAAAGTACCGTGAGTCCTGTGGCTTGAACCACGGTTTGATTTTGTGCTGACCTCCCACACAGAACGTTTATTGATTAATTGTAAATGACACACGGGCATGTCAGTATTCACTACTGTATTTTAAGGTGACGTGGTGAGGGTGGTGGACTTTCTGCTCCACTCTCATTTGCTTTTTCATTAGCTTTACCTGTCAGGGTGAAGCTGATATATGGGCACCCGTCAGTACTTTAACAGTTTTATGATTTGTTCTGATAAGTGTGTTTTCATTACAGGGAGCGTGCGTACAGTACAGGGAAAGCCATGTGTGAGCGACTAAAGGACTCCATCCCAAGGCAGATGTTTGAGATTGCCATACAGGCAGCTATTGGAAGTAAGGTCATTGCAAGAGAAACGTAAGTACAAGAGCTAAGATTTTGTTAAAATGATGTGTAGAAATCAGATGTAAAGTACTGTATTTAATATGTGGTATGACCACACGTGTCTCTTCCAGAATAAAGGCGTATAGAAAAAATGTTCTCGCAAAATGTGTAAGTAAAGTTTGTTTTTTCTTTCTTCTTAGAAAAGTCCAAATATACCACTGATGCTTTGAAATCACTTTTTTTTGGTCTTGATAGTATGGAGGTGACATTACACGGAAAATGAAGCTACTGAAGAAACAGGCAGAAGGTAAAAAGAAGATGAGGCGTATCGGCAATGTGGAAGTTCCCAAAGATGCTTTTATTAGTGTTCTGAAGAGGAAAGAAAAATAGACTGTGAGACTATAAAACAACATGGAGCAGGTTTTTGTTATTGAAAGGCTCTGTCACGTTTTCTTTGAATAAAGTGCTGCAAACTGGAGTGAAAATCCTTATTTGTACATGTGTCACAAGTTATTGGCTCTTTTCTCTCAGACAACACCAGCATTACAAACCATTCTTTCATCATTACACCTTCATGTTCATGACCATTATAGTTATAACTTATAGTTATACTTGTAACATTTACATAAATGCAGTCTGAAACCAATCAGGAGAATGACTAGATGTTTGAAATGCAAAAACCCCACACTGGTTCAACAGGAAGTAAAACAAGAGAAGCTCACATAGTACAGTTCTGTACAACATCGACCTGCTATATTGTTCAGTATGCGCCCTGATTAAATTATTATTATTTATTATTTTTGGTGCCATCACGTACAGCAGTTACTAATGTTTTTTTTTCTCCCAAGTATCACACCGTATCTAGGGAGGCACTGACACTGTCAGTTGTTTTAAAGAAAAAAAACATATAGATGCTATTTCCATCCTTCATTATCTTAATGTGGAACTTCCCAGACTCGAAACTATCAGACTGCTTTTGCGGGCTGTTTGGCTTTAGTTGGTAGTAAACGCTGACAGCCACTGTCCTGTTGTTGTCCTAGAAGACACTTTTACATGACCATGAAAATGCTTTGATAGTTGGGATCACTAATACTTCAGGAATGACACCTTTTCCAAAAAGGCAATGACTCAATTTTAAAATATTTTCTGGTATAACTAGATAAGTACTAGTTTTCACAGATTTTATTGGTGATAAACATCAGTGACTTTAACCACCTTCACTGTTTCTAAACTTTAGTTAGAGAAAACAACTAATCAGGGGATCGTCCCCAATCATAAAATCACATTTCACAACTTTACAAAACACAGTTTGAGGGCTTCCTACAGTAAAGAAGAGTCAAACTGGTGATGGGTGACTATACTAAAGATGGCTTGGCCAGAAAATTGTTCAGTAAATTAGTAGAAGACATGAAGTAGTACCTCCACAATTATATAAGCATTCTGATTTTTAGAGTTACACAGTGAATAACATGATTGCTTGTCCTTCTTTCATAAAAGATTTATGTAAATTATTTTTGTTTGACAGGATATTGTTTTGGTCATTAAAAGAATGGCTTTCATCAGATGTGTTAGGATTAGGATTCAACTTTATTGTCATTACACATGTATAAATACGGGTAATGAAATACAGTTTGCTGTACAGATGGGCAGATACACAGATGTACTATGAACAAATATACTGATGTGGTCTGACGCTGCTGAAGCCTGATTGGACATTTTCATCAGTTAACCGTGCTTCAATACAACATGCATAACTCAAATCAAACCATCTTTGTTTAGGAAAACAACCTGCACTTTAAACTTACCCCATGGTCCTATCAATATTATTTAGAACCTAGTCCTTCATACTTACTACATCTTTATTTGTTGTTTTTCAGACCTTTTCAGATGGAAAAAAGGGGAAGAAGTACAATTTATATTCCGCATCATTCATGCTACGTTTCTAGGGGAAAACTAAATCATTCATTGTTGTCTATTCTGTTTTTCCAGTAGATGGCAGCAGGAGCTCAAGCACACCACGAGGTGGAAGTTAATTCCATCCCCAACTAATGTCCAGTCAGGCTTCGTCAGCGTCAGACCACATCAGTGTCACATTTAAATTGTGCAAAAAAGAAATTCAACACTGTCCCCAGCAGTTCATTTGCCTGATGAAAGTATCTCATTGCCTCTAAGTGCTGTCCTTTGTACTTAGGCAATGTAAGCAAATCTAATTCAGGGACCAGCTGGCATTTTGCTGCAGTAAAGAGGAGGAGGACAAACGCTCACAAAGTGTACTTCAGCGTGTGTAGTGGATTCAGGAGAGGAACACTTCTTATTAATCTGCGTGGACTATTACAGATTATAGGCCTGTTTTTCCTTCACATTTTGTCAGCATAGCAGGGAGAGCACGTACGACTCTGACGGATGACTAATGAGGCCATTAATCAGGAATGTAGGGAACGAATGGCCATAGGTTTCCAACAGGCAGTTTTTATGTGGCTGTCAGACAAGTAAGAGCTTTCAACTGCTTCTGCTGTTGAGATGGAAGGTACTGAAAACAGTACTGCAGTAGAACTGCAAACATTCAGATGGAAAACTTTCCTTATAATTAAACAGAAAGTCATAAATGTATATAATGTGTGTGTGTGTGCGTGTGTATAACACTGTAATATCCAATTCAATTTTAAAGTACCAAAACACATCAGCAGTTGCCTCAGGGTGCTTTATATTGTAAGGTGAAGACCTTACAATAACATTGTCATTCTGACAAGCAAGCGTCGTAGGAAACGCGATTTGGTGTTGTTCGGCTCTAAGTCCCACCCGTAGTTTCGTGCTATCAATGCGGAAGCAGCTGTGAATGAACACAGTGCTAACCGCTGGTAGTGTGTATATTGTGAATTACGCCCACATATACACCACGCAACTCATTGACACGTAGCTTTATAATATTTTGATTCACAGCGCTTCCACCTGAAATGGGATACCATGACTTTTACTGCTCTTTTTTATTTAATTAAACAGAGTAGAGAGCGTTATATTGGTTGCTAGCTAGCAAGTCATCTCTGTAGCCTAACTTCCTAAAGTGTCCGTCGGCCAAACCATGAAGGTCCGCTCGTCTGTTTTCGCCTCCTTTATTTTAATATTCGAAGTGATTGGCATTGCCCTTTTCCTGCGGGGATTTTTTCCCGTACCTGTCAAGTCTTCTTTCTCATCCAAGAGCAAGCTGTCAGATCTGCCAGCCGAGCCGCTGACAGGTGAGTCCAGCCTCATCCACATCTGCTCACACTCCTCTCCTCGGCCTGTACTGATGACTTAAATCTGTTAAAACTCATAAGCTTTCTTCTAACCTCACAGGAAGCGCTCCTAATTCATCTCGCCTCCCGCAGCCCCTGTTTAAAAGGGTGGTTATTATGTTAGTGGATGCCCTCCGAGAGGACTTTGTGTTTGGACCCAATGGCCGTATGTATATGCCCTACACAAGGCACGTGGTGGAAAGAGGCTCATCACACAGCTTTGTGGCCAAGGCGAGACCACCTACAGTCACTATGCCCAGGATCAAGGTAGGATGCCACTAGCATGATGTTGAAATGAGAACACACCCATCAAATCTGTCCACTGTCTCTCATCATGGCGTGTGTCTGTTAGAATTCTGGATTAGTGTTTGCTGTAGTGAGTCAACCACTTGGATCCAAACTATCAGCATTTCTCAAATCCTTTCCAACTGCACACATAAATCTGCATCTCTGAAACTCTACATTAGCACTTTATTATGTAGTGAAAACTTGAAACGGATGATGCCAGGAATATTCTGTTGTTAATACCTAACCCTGTAATGTGGTATTCCTTTAAATACACACTAACTTCTCTGCTCTCTTTATGGTGCTGAAGGCGTGTAATATTTTCCATTACAGGCATGAAACCCAGGCTCAGTGTTAATGCTCAGTTTACTGTCCATTTTGTCTGCTTTGCAACTCAAATGCAGATTTAAACAACATCCCTAAATCTCATCTGTTTTGGTTTTTTTATAGAAATCTGTTGATTCACACTAATGAGAAAATTGGATGTGTATTTTTTTTAATGTATTAAAGGAGTCATTAGTACATTTAGAAACATCCAAAATGAACAGACAGTTTAAAAAAAAGTGTGAGAAATCAAGACAGGAAACATAACAAAACAGCACGGAGGAAGAATAAAATATAACACTTTAAAATGCTTGTGGAAAGTATAAGTCTTGTTTAAAAGAAAATAGCTAGACGATTGGAAGCGAGCAAAAACCATAGAAAACATAAATGTCTTCAATTCTTTCTGATAAATTCGGTGGATGGAGAGCATTTGATTGCGCACTATCACTGATAGTGAAACAATTGTTTGGCAATATATAAGAGCTCAGGTGAGAAAATCACTGCAATGAGAGAGAAAAAAATCCAGATCTCCAGCATCCATGGAATAGTGCTAAGAAATTCTACAATGTGTGACATCTAGCAATGATAGAAGTCATTTTTAATGAAAGATAAGAACATTTAATATATGATAAGATACCTGATAATGGAATATATTTAAATCAAAAAGGTGCACCTGCACCTTTCTATTTAGTATTTTGTTTTTTCTTAAAAAAATATTTTATTGTAATTCTGAATATTTTCTGGTTCATGTTGTTATAGGAAACTATAAATAATAACCAAAATGCAATAATAAAAGTTATTATTTTTAGTAGTAGTAGTGGCAGTAGTATTCATTTTAAAGACTTGTGTTTAAATTCGAGCAGCACGGTGGCACGGTGGTTAGCACTGTTGCCGCACAGCAAGAAGGTCTTGAGTTCAATTCCACCATCAGGTCTTTCTGTGTGGAGTTTGCATGTTCTCCCCGTGTTTGCGTGGGTTCCCTCCGGGTACTCCGGCTTCCTCCCACCGTCCAAAGACATGCAGCTTGTGGGGATAGGTTAATTGGATAATCCAAATTGTCACTAGGTATGAATGTGAGTGCGAATGGTTGTCTGTCCCTGTGTGTTGGCCCTGCGACGGACTGGCGACATGTCCAGGGTGTACCCCGCCTCTCGCCCTATGACAGCTGGGATAGGCTCCAGCGCCCCCCGCGACCCTGAAAAGGATAAGCGGAAGCGAATGGATGGATGGATGTTTAAATTCCTAAGGAAGCCAGGCTTTCATTTGTTTGTACACAGGATTCAGATTTGTTCCTAAAGTTTGAACAAATTCAGGTATGAAAATGTTGATAAATGAGGGATTTGTGTGTGAAATGCTCGTACGCATGATTTACGCACAGATTTGTGCGTATTCACTTTTGGTATTCATATCCTTAAGAGAGTGAATGGACTTAAGTTAGGGAAATTCCATCAGCTTGAAAAAACAAAAAAAACAACATAGCTCCACCCAGTAGGGTGGTGCTATGTTTTTAACTTCTGTCTTATTTGTCTTCATTCAGAAGAGATTCCTGGAGACAGCTAAGGATGGAACTTATGCGGGTTGACTACTAATGATTAAAAGCTAGA